CCCTTATATGATCTGAGGCCCTATAGCTTCGGCGCAGTGCCGATTACTGACGTTTGTCAACAAAATGGTGCTTGACTCTTGAGACAAGCTAAATTACACCATATTGTCAATGACATTGAGCATACATTTTTTTAAATACCTTCGCGAAGTAAAACTTCTGTACGTAGTACATTACATTATTATTATTCTGTGGTTTGGGACTAGAAGCGCAGTGTAAAATGTCTAAGGATATTTATTTATTATACGACAAAGCACACTTATCAACCCGGAACACATCGTGACCTAAACTCGAGACAGTCCGTATTCTTTGTGTGAAACTCCGTACTGCAACGCACAAGGCCCAGAACAGACGGTGAAACGCAACTGCAACGAAACTGCAACTGCTAGTTACTTTTGAGTTGCATCTAAGTTTCTGCCATAGCGTCCGTTGAGAGACCACACATGACGCGACCAGTTTGAAACTTTCAGTTTCAGTTTCATTTATCAGAATTATCACAAAGTTGCAGTTTCGTTGCAGTTGCGTTTCACCGTCTGTTCTGGGCCTTATCCGCGCCATAATATAAATAACACGAGAGGGGACCGTAAGATCTCCTACGTCACTTGATACTAAGATAAACTCCATGGCACACGTTCAGAAAAGTTGTGTTAAGCTTGGAAGATTAATAATAAACTGCAATTTGACCTACATTTTAGTGCATTATGGGACAGACAACAGACATGCTACTTTTTAGGATCGGCGATTTCGCGACTTCATGCGTTCGTTTTTAAGTGTGCAGCTTTTATAAACCTACATTAAGTCCGCCATGATTATAATGTAGGGTACTAGTTTTGTAAACATTTAAAAACTAGTCTGCCCAATATACTTTTATATGTAAATAAAATTAAGCTATGGTCCGGTCTCCGGGCACGTAGAATTTCGTCCAATGACCCCAAGCTACCCATCCTTATCGCTCGCGCGTAATTATATTGCGACTATGCGACGGGCGGTCACAGTGAGTGTGCGACCGCGACAGCAACATCATTACGCGCGAGGGATAAGGATGGGTAGCTTGAGGTCATTGGACGAAATTCTACGTGCTCGGCGACCGGGTTTTAGTACTCTTCATACTCACATCACACGGGTACTCCGGTTCGAAGTGAGTCCTCGCATGGTTGACAAAGAACTTTTTATACTTGATCACCGTCCCACACAGGTTACATTCCACTGGCCCCTCGTTTGGTATCGGCTGGACTGCTAACGCCATATATTTTTCTATTACTTCCTGTAAAAGTGTTTATTTCTCGTCCTTTTGTCTATGCGGGTTAGACGAAAATTCCCATTCGCATTTCGTCACAAATTAAAAAACGCTGCCAATGGCAAATGGGACGGAATGCAAATGGGACTGAATACTAATGGACTGAATGGGAATGGAAACAAACCCGAATGGGACCGAATGCGAATGGGTATAAACCCGAATGGAACCGAATGCGAACGGGTACAAACCCGAATGGGACCGAATGTGAATGGGTACAAACCCGAATGGAACCGAATGCGAATGGGTACAAACCCGAATGGGACCGAATGCGAACGGGTACAAATCTGAATGGGACCGAATGCAAATGGGAACAAACCCGAATGGGACCATTATTTCGTAACGAAATGCGAATTGGACGGTCTGCGTCAAACCCACCTATGCAATAGCAATTTATGTTTCTACATTTTATTACTTTAATAAAGCTAAGAAATACAAATTATATCAAATACTTTATTCCGTTAGACCCTTTCCAGGGTCCATACACATCCCGAATATAGCTTGCCCTACCACCACTTCGGGACAACATAATATGGGCTAAAGCCTGGTCCGTGAGCACGTAGAATTTTGTCCAATGACCCCAATCTACCCATCCTTATCGCTCGCGCGTAATTTTGTTGCTGTCGCGCTCGCACACTCACTGCGGGCGCGCGTCGCACAGTCGCGACAGCAATATAATTACGCGCGAGCGATAAGGATGGATAGCTTGGGGTCATTGGACAAAATTCTACGTGCTCACAGGCCAGGCTTTAGTGTTGAGAAGTGGTGTAAGAAACTGTCACATTTTTCAGTTATAAACATACCTTTGGTCTCCTAGGCCTCGTCCTAACTTCAGTATCCTTTGATTTGCTTAATACGTTGCAATTTGCATCATCTTCTGATGATTCATAGTACGTTAATTCTGACTCAGTTATATCTACGGATGTAGGTATGTAATCATTGTTCACTTCTTCGTTTAGCTTCTGAACCAGCTTCGTATTTTGTGGTAAATCGCTGAGTTTTAGCCGTTTTCGTTTTGACGTTCGTGATTTAATTTTTGTTGAGTGTGAGAGTTCTTTAGTATTCTTATTTTTAATGTTGCTTTTGATATCGTGATTCCAACTAAGTACATCGAACAACTGATTTGTTTTTGAATCGTCAAATAATTTAGATTTCTTCTGTGTAGATTTTGATGTAAATTGATCATGCTCTTCTTCTAATTGAATGTCTGAATCTGAGATACTTTCACCGACTAGTTTCCTTAGTTCTGCGTCTGTTTTTTTACTTTTATTGCGTAGTTTTAACGATTGATTCACCAAAATTGTGCAGAACTTACATATTTTTTGGGTAAGACCATCGTCTGGAAGAATCTGAAAGAAAAAACAAATATAATGCTGTTACCTGTTTCATGTAAGAGTATTATATTATCTGTGATGTAAGTAATAAATGATATTTCTAGCACAAAAATTACTACAGTAATTTAATGTCATCAGTGCCACTTGTGGTCTAAACTGAATAAATATTTTTGATTTTGATTTTTTTTATTTTGTTATTGAAGTTAATTATACAATAAATATTTGATATTTTGCAAGTACCAATTCAATAATTATTCTATATCCTGCACATTTATGTACAATTTAATGCTGTTGAAACATTGTTAAACAAATAAAATAAATAAATAAATATCTTCTTTGCCTGGCCCATTCCCATTTTATTTGGGCTCGGTCCTAGGTCGTCTCACTGTTAACTTGGGGCTCTTTATTTATTTATACTTTAATGCCAAAATTTAAACATTAGGCGAACTTAATACCATAAGGCATTATGGTCCTTATTCACTAAAAAGAATCATTTTGAATTGAATAATAGAAAAGTTAGTACCTTTACTCCAGTTGCTAAATACAGTAAGTTGGACCGAAGTTCTGAAGGTTCTTCGACAAATATCCACCTCAAGTCCTTAGATGATAAGCAGAGGCGACAGCAAGTCGATAATATGTCGGACATCGCTAAAGTGCAAATCGGAAATAATAATAACTACTAACATACAACACCACACAGCACGTAACAATGTGCACATTAACATACAAGCAAACAACGACACCAACATTAATTTATTTATTTTAGTTAAATCCAGAGCAGAGAAAAGCAATGAGAAAAGTAAATAAAGGAAAAATTGTATTTACGAAGCTCGTTCTTTTAAATAAACATTGACATTTCATAACTTTCATTTATAAAATCTTTAAATAAATAAAATATTCTTTGAAATTATAGCTACTTATAATTAACAATATTATGTTTCTTGAACTTTTATAAAAGTAGAAACAAGTGCCCGATTTTCCACATTGAATAAAAAACAAATAAGCCTTCCACTGTCTTCGAGAACTGAATGAAATATATTTTTGACAGTTTATTGTTGCCAGTAAATACTTTTAATTACCACTTTTGATCATATTTTTTCACACATTTTATCTGCCCCTCTGGAGTCTGGACAAGTGGCAAATGTGACTGATGTAATGTCGAAAGATGGTCGAAAGGCCCTTGTTGTATGGAGTTTCTATCAGAACTTGTG